TTTCCCTCCACACAGTCCATCTGGTCTCTTCTCCTGAACAGAACATACCATGAGTTTAGAATGAGAAGATCGCATGCTGCCATTCACTCTCAGAATCACAGCTTTTTTATTTGGGTTATTTGTTATTGCTGGTTGGTTTGTTTGTTTGTATTTTAAGTACCTGTGGACTGCTGATTTTTAAAGGCATTCAATGAGTTGCCGAAGGCCCTTTTGTTGATGGTGATGTCTTAAAAAATTGTTACCTGTGTATCTTAGGTTCACATGCAATGTTACATTTATCTGGTATTATTTATTTTATGTATATATACACATAAATATATCTCTTAGATATTTCAATATATTTTACAAGCTAAAATTTGGATTAGAAATGTTAGTGTTAGTTGTAGTTACTTACGGCAGTTTCATGCCCTCTTTATGTCGGAAAGCAGGTAAAGGGGTGGGTAGTGATCAAATGATGAGATAGCTATGTAAGGAAAGTAGCTAATATTTATTTCTTTCATTTGAGAGGAAAGCCTGTTGTGTCATAGAGAAGACTTGCTTTTTAAGAGATTATACGCTTCAAGACAGTTGCTATGACTCTGCTTAGGTAATATTAGAGTTCTTTGTTAATCTTGTTATGGAAATGGTCTGCTACTAATATGGTGGTGCTTCTGTTGTTGGATGCCTTAATCACTAGTTTTTGGCTGTGGCCTAGGGGTTGTGTAGATTTTTTCCTGGCGGACGCCTATCTTGGCAGTTCTTTCTGTCCAGTATTTCACTGCTGATTCTGTTTAAGAAACAATCTAGCCCGATGCGAGGTTTCCTGCGTTAGGGAATGCATAGTTGTGTTCTTGTAGTTGCCATAGCGAAGAGTGCTGTTGGAAGTAACTTCATCTTAACAGTGGAAAGACTCTTTGATATAGTTAACAAAAAAGGACCTAATTGTCATGGTTGTTTCCTGTGTTGGCATGGCGGTGTTTGCAAAGTAGCTGTTGCTGAGTTAGTTTCATTCCTTCTCCTCCTGGGGAACAGCTGTCATCAGGGCTTTTGTGGTAGCTGTCCAAGGTTTGAGGCATAGTGTTTGGGCATATTTTCACGTTATTTCCTTTGAATTTGGTGGAACGTATCACAGTTTTGTGTTTGGTTTTTTTTTTTTCTCTGATATTTATTTGTTGAAGTAAAATTTCTAGGAGGTTTGAATGTAATTCTGTTATATGTCTGGAATAAATGTCTAGACTGATCATTATAAATGCTCACCCTCCCCCCTTTATTTGTAACAATCAAATGCAGATTAAATAAATAGGCAGATTCTTTAGTCCATTCTACTTCCCAGGAGCAAAAGCTTTTAAGAGCAGCTCCAGGATTTAATTTATAATATGAAACAAAATTAACAACAACAAATTGATATTTTTGGTTAGTAACACAATGAAACTCTAAGTTTGACTTACTAAATATCTGCATTGCCACTGCCTGAAATTCTTTCTGCCCTTTTACCACCCACAATAGCCTCTAATATTCCTGTGCAGACTCATCGTTTGTCTGCTTTTAGCTATCTTGGGCTCATGGATCACTAGTCCATCTACTTTGTAGCTCTCCACATGGAGCCTGACTCTGTCTTTGGTATTAGTATCTGTCTCTTCTAAATCTGTAGTAATAAGCCATCAGGATGGTCTGTCACACTCAAAAGAACCTAGCAGATGTAAACCTAAAAAATGCACATTTCCCAGCAGTAGCAATGAGAGAAAGGAAGTGTCTGTGGCTGAAAGTGTGGTGGAATTGCACTACCCTATAATTATTCTGTGTCGGAACACCTGTCATTTTTCAGTTCCTGGTTTACTTCAGAGTTTTATAAGATTTTTTTTTTAAAAAGATTGTGGATACTATCTGAAAACTCTTGCATAAATTTCCCGTCTGTTATTTGATATTCTTTATGGTTTGTACTAAGCAAAGCTGCTTTTCCCTAAAGTATTGAGTCACTGAGGCTATGTAAGAGTCTTATTGTTCCTCTTACCTCAAAAATTATGGAAAATAATTACATTTCATCTGTAAGGCTAATTATTTAAATTTACCTACTGACTTTGCTTTGTCATGTTCAATGTGGCCAATAGTATAAAAATAAAATTTGGACAACACGTTTTTTTCCTTACAAATAGGAAAAATTACATAACTGCTGCGAGGGATTTTTTTTTTTTCCTAATTGGTAGGCTTTCTATTTTCAGTTATTTTATGCCAATATTTATTAGAAATATATTTCTACAAATTATAAGGAGAGTATACTGATAACAAGTACATCACAGGTACAGAAAAGTCTTTTTAGGGACAGTGAAAGGGAGCATTTGAAAATTGTTTAAACTGTGATAGTGGTTGTGCAGCTGCTTTTAATAATAGTAGAGGGTTTTGGGGGTTTTTTTGGTTGGTTTTTCTTTTTTTAGTATTTAGACCTGAAATTTATAATTTTTCTTTAAACATCCAACATGGTTGCATCCTGACTGGGAAGAAAAATATATTTAAACTCCCAAGAAAATGTATGGGTTTCCTTTTCTAATTTGCCTACCACCCTGTAATGCTTACTGTAAATTGGAAAACACTGCTTCAAGAGGAGTAGACTCACTATCTGTTAAATTATTTGTATATAATCTATTGTATTACAACTACTGCATCATTAATTCTGTTCTAATTTTCCCTAAACTGTGCTTGCATGTTACTTTTGAGTATTATTGTTTGTCTTTAGTAGTTAGTGATTCGAAACTAGTTACCTGATGATACTTTTGTTTATTTTTTTGCACAAAGCTAGAGTGTTTCAAGCTCAGTTACCTTATCCAACTTCCATAATTGAGATTAGAATGTAAATACGGTAATTCCAATTGATTGACAGTAGGTGAACATTACTGCTGCTGAACAATTTGTGTATAATGCTTAATATGTCAACAGTAGATGATATAGTAGGTTGGTGTCACTGTTATCCTGTGTGGAAGCATGGGTATGAAAACCAGAATGAGAGTATGAGAATGGAAAGATACAGATCCATAAATCCAGTTATTAGCGAGAGAAGATTGTCTGATAACTGTGCTGATAAAGACAACTCTGTCCCAATTTGATTTATCTCAGTATTTATAGCTTAAATACTGTGTCATTGCAAATAGTTACCTAATAGAGATCTGTCGTCTGCTCCTCTCTCACTCGCTAAGCTAATTTACAATGGATAGCCTTAGCTAACTAGGTTTGTGGTTCCAGTACTAACAAGTGCTGCCAAGAATGGTGTCTTATGCTACTTTACTGACAAGATCACTTCAAAGGTTGTTAGGAAATATGTTTGTCTTTCCCTCACGCTCTTCTGTTACTTTCCAAATTTCTCTGCCTTTCTTCTGTTCCATCTCTTCCTCATGATCAAACTTGTGGTTTATCAAGAATTTCAGGCAATAAATTGTAAGATCTGAACTTCAGATGAAAGAATTAAGGAAAGTGGTTCAAACTTAAAACTGTAGCATTGTTATGGAGAAATATGTAGCAACTTTAAATATTCTCAGTCTATAAAGTCAGCTCTGAAATGGTTGATTCTGAATTGAGCTACCTGTAACTTGTAGAGTAGCCATTAATGCTTTTACAAATATTTTGAAAAGCTTACCTCTAGTTTTGTATTTCCTCCTAAGAGCCACAGATATAAAATAATATTGTCCTGCATGGTACGGTTTGTGCTGTTTTTTCACAAAAACTATGGCTAATCTTAGCAAATAAATGTCATATACCACTTTTCTTCTTCTGACAAGGAATTCTTTATGCTCTTATTTGGGCACCAAAATGTGATAACCTTAAGAAGTTGTTCTCCAGTGTATTAGATAACCTCAATTTAATATTTGATAATTCCCCCAGATTTGTGTTTTGTAGTCTAGACTTTAATGTGGCTGTGAGACTGTTTGGATTTTCCCCTCACCCCCCCATTTGGGTATTAGTAGCATGCTGTCATTCTAAGCAGGCAGAACACTTACCTTCTTCCAGAGTCAGAAGGATCACCATGCTGTAGAAAATACTGTTCTCTAAATTTAGTAATAATATTCTGTAGTTAGTTTTCATTAATAAAAATAGGACTACTGTTGTACCTGTACTAATGATGTTAGTAATATTACATTCTATACGAGGATAGTAAGATGGTTGTAGGAGGCAAAGTAACAATGCATTATAATAGAAGCTATGGTGGGAATCACTATTGCACTTTCATCTGGGGCCACTGGATAATGTATCTATCGTGGAAGTATTGTTTTAAGTTTCCTTTAGCACATACTAGAAACAAATGCTTTATGGCAGGCCTAAGAGTTTTTCTAACCCATCTCCTGCTCATACTGTAATTTCTTATGGGTATGGAACTATCTTAAATAAATGGAGACGACAATCTTTTGTGGCTGCTGTTTGGATTGTGTGATAGGAGGTTGCATGAAGAAACTGGTTTTGAGGCTATAATTGAAATATCTGTTTAAGATGTTTTGATTTCATCTAATGCTGCAATTTAGTAATGTTGAGATTGTTTTCCACTGTTGTTTACAGGTCAATAATGACCGACTTGTACTACCTCAGTCAAACAGATGGAGCAGGAGATTGGCGGGAAAAAGAGGCCAAAGATCTAACAGATTTGGTACAGAGGAGAATAACTTACCTACAGGTAAGAGGGTAGTGTTTTAAATCAAGGGAAACTTATTTTTTTAAATATATATAGCAGTTATCTATACCCATGTAACAGAATAATTACGTGACAGTTTTAAGTGAACGCTTGTTCACCAATGAATTACATACGAAAGAGATTAGAATGTTTCAAACATAATATAAAGTATTATGTAATATGCATTACATGTGACGTATTATATGTAGTATGGTAGTAATTCAAGGAAATCTTCAGGTGTTTGGGTTTTTTGTGTGTGTGTGGGTTTGTGGGTTTTTTTGTTTTGTTTTGTTGTTTTTTGATTCATGGTTTTCACTGGGCCGCCCTTACCTGGTTGGATTCTTTGTTTTATAATAAAAGATGTCTAGTTTCTGTTTATGATTCTTTAGAGCATCAGGAGGAATATATATGTGTGTCAGAATGCATATATATGTTTACGCAGTGTTAAAAATGAAAATATGAAAGTCCTTGTATGAAAATTCTGAACAAGCAGCCTGTTTTTAAAAATATGAGTATGCAAAATTGAAGTGCTTATGTAGTATATTTTCCAGTCCTAGACTGTTTCAGTAGATGTGTGAGACTTCTCACAGATGCTCATATTTGTGAGTGCATAAAGCTTTTTTAATATATGTGTGTGTGTGTGTGTATAAAATTTAAACAAAACTTGATCTGAAGCTTTTAGGACTTCTGTTCAGATATGAATGCCTGCAGCTCTTTATATAGTGACCAAAAAGATGTTTGTAGTATTCTTTTTTTATTTGTACTTGGTTTGTTTTTCCTTGCTTGTGTGTAGCTCACTGCTCTGCTTTGTATGGTCACCTCTAATGTCTGATCTTTTCTCTATGTAAATAGATTTTTTTTTTCTCAGACATTCATTATTTTACATTTCACCATTCAGCTATTGGAACCTTCTCTTCTGTGAGCAAGCTATGTATTTGTTGCTTGTTAAATAAAAAAGACACCCTTCCGTGGGAAAAACCTCCCTCTAAATTATGTAGGAGACATCACTTTATTGTCTTCCTCCAACTCCTTGAGAACTGTTTCTTTTCTTCCATTTTTGATGTCACTGTTTGGCAGTGGTGTACTGTAATTACAGTACACTTTTCATGATGATAAATGTGGCCTTTCTCTACCTTTCTCTCTTCTTTCACTGTTTCCATTTGCTGTCTTATCTAAGCATGTAGATTTTTCTGGAGTGTGATTGTCTTCCGATTTTATGTTTTACAGTGTTCAGGGCCATAGTTCAAGACTAGGATCTCCAAGTATGTACAATGAATAACAAAAGTAAAAGCAGTTTAGGAGGACAGAATTACTCAGTATTACTCTCTAACCCCTGTGTTCTAGTGCGAAGTGATTGACTCTGAGCAATTAATTCTATTTAAAACTTACTTATTTAAACCAAACAACTAGTATTCCTTAACAGTGGGTATGCAATGTAAAGCAGTCCATGTTCTGAAATTACTCTCTATTCATACTACAATTGTATTAAAAACTAAACTAAACTAAAAATCTCAACAACTCTTGCCCCCCAACTCCATGCCAAAAAGACCTATCTGGAACATATTTGTAATTTTTTTTTTTTTTTTAATAAAGAATAAAAGTACTGTATCATTTTCTTTCTGGTACATGTTGAACAGTGATGGCTGCATTATTTTGGGACATCTCCTTGAGGAATCATTTAAGTGAATGATTGTGAATAGTGATGACTGCTACTTCATTTGGATGGCATTACCATAAATTTGATTTAATGAGGCTACATTTAGCCAGTTCCCTGTAGTTAAAGCAACACTTAAAGCTAGGAGCTTACATTTAAGCAAAAGACCTTGTTTTCAGAGATGTTCATTGTCAATGAAGAGAATATGCAAGAGAAGTCAGACAAGGGCTCCTGTAGTACTGTATAGCCTGGAAGTGATAGGCTGAGTAAATGAATATGAAGGCAGCAGTTTTATTTCCCCTATCGTTTTGTGCTTATTTCTGTTCTGTTTATTTTAGGAGTTTGTGATTCAGCATGCAATCTCCCAGTAGCTGAATATGTTTGCCTCCAATTAAACTTATATTCATCCCCCAAACCCCCCCCCCCCCCCCCCCCCAAAAACCTAACCCAAAGTATTTTGTTCAATTTGGAAGGTTAAAAATAGAAGCATTTGAGAAAGGTTGCTAAATGCTCACCAACATTATCAGTTATAATAGTCATAGTTTCATCATATTCATACTATTTAGTTGGGGCTGTGTGGGGTTATGCAAAGAAAAGCAAGTTGCTTACAAGATTTTATTCTGAGGCTTCTGGATTTCCCAGTATTTTTGTTGATTTAATGTCATTTAAATTTTTCAGTCATAAAGTGTATTAAATCCTCTCTCTTTGCTTCCCATTAAAATTAATTATATAAATTTTTAAATAAAAGTACTTACGCTAAAATGACAACAGCAACTAAAAAGGCCCTGGGCACTCTGCATGTGTGCAAAGGGATGTGCTTTCACCAGCTCTAAGTCTTGAAAAGTGTAAGCTTGTATCCTTCAATAATTCAAATCTAATGTATTCTCTCTTCTCCCAGTTATTCCACTTCACTCATGAGAAACAAATTGTAGTGTGTTGTGGCAGTTGTATTATGCTGTTAGTATTGATAAGTTCAAGCTAATTTGAAAGAAAGGCAAAAGTAGGTTCCAGAGTGGAAAAAATCTCCTATAAAATTCATCAGCGTTTACTTTTCTTCTTGGGAAGGAGGACACTAGCTGAAGGGCTTCAGCTCTGTGTCCATATGGTTATTGTTCTGGGAGTAGAGATGATTTCTTTAATGGGCAGACCTTGTAGTGCTTCAGTTTTCCTGTGGTAGACTCAGCATCCTTAGGTTTATTTGAAAGCTTTCTGGCATTTACTCCAAATACATAGAATCCTTATAATTCAGTTACTCAAGGAGAAAAATGTCATGAATAATGCCAATTCTAATTTCTGAATAGGTTTAAGAAGTAGATCTAGGAATAGAGTTGGACTAGATGACCTTTAAAGGTCTCTTCCAACTCAAACTATTCTATGAGTCTATGAATAGCACACTTTAATAGTCTCATCTTGAAATGATAAAGGCAAGTTTAGATACTGGCAAGGCAAACAGTTGAAAAAGGTCATATCCTAACTGAGATGTGTTCCTGGCTGCGGGTACTACTTGCTTATTTAGGTAGTATAGCTCCAGTTAAGATTTATGGTTATGAATTCTTAATAGTGACACACATTGGATATGTGTTTGTCTTAAACTTGACACCTGTCTATGATTATTAAACTTCAATCTTTTGACTTGCAGACACACACTCATTTAATTATAAATGAATCAGTGTCACTAGTGGTCAACAGAATTGAAAGGAGAGAATGACAGTCATGCGGTTTTCTGTATTTGAGGGGAAGTTACTGAACAGAACAATTCATAGAATAGATTCTGTCCCAGATTCAGGTTTACTGACAGACTTGTAAGGCCTAAAAATGTACCATCTAGAAGATGTTTATTGTTGCCTTGTTACATTCTTTTCTACAGCATCATCAGTTTAACATTTACTTAGTGCAGATTTTTCTATGGGAATAAGTGGGGATGGTAGAGGCCAGAAACACAGTGCTACTAACTGGAGAATGAAGTTTGCACTTACTCTTCTTTAGGCAGCAAAGATTCCACACAGGAAGGATCCAATAATTAAAAATGCATAGGAAACTTGTTTGATTAGTTTTGGTACTTCCAGAATTACTTGAATTGTCTCAGGAAATGCTGTCATTTAAATAGTTAATAAAAAATGAAACTGTCATTAAAACACATTTTGTCGAGTAAGGTTTCCATAACTGGCCTACTTAATCTTTGGAAGTGTGGCTAGAACTGAAAGTTTAACATGCATCCGTATATACAGTTGATTAATACCATTGAGTAACAAGATCTTGGACTTACTAGAGATAATTCCATTAAAATATTATTTCAGTGCTCAACAGTATTTAAAAGGTTCATCTGCCTCAAGGATAGACTGTGCATTTCTAGTTCCTAATGTCGGAAAGGATATAATGAAATTAGAAGAGTTGAAAAGGAAAGTTTTGTGGATGATCAGTACATGATCCTGGTATGTCTGAATATAAAGACTAAATATATGAAGATTTCAGTCCAATAATGAACTGAGAAAGGGATGTGATACATAGAGGTCTATGAAATCTTGACTGCCCTGAAGAACTTGAGTAGGAAATGATGGTCCAGTCTCTTTTAAAGAAGACATACTTCAGTGCAAGATTCGTACTGTGCTGCTTTTGCAGAATTAAGTTTAAGGTTGAATTTAACAGGAGTTACATATTTTGGGTAATCAGTCATAATAGCATGGAATCTGCTTTGGTCTCTTCAGTCATCTTGTAAAGATTATAGTGGCAGCATTCCTTTGGTGAATGATAGGTACTATAAATAACTTGAATTTTGTTTTACAGCTAATGGTTCCTGTTTGGTGTGTCTCAATTAAATTAGTTTTTATATGGATACAGGAGAACAAGTTTAAATAAGTCTTATGAAGATAGAAGTAGCTACCCACGTCAGTTATTCAAAAGAAGCCATTCAAGGATATTCCTTCACACAGTCAAACTAATGAACGTTAATTAAATCCAAGACTAAACACTATTAATTCTCTATTACTAATTCAGTTTTGTAGGTCTTCTATGTAGTAGTAGGAGATTTCTCAGCCCCATTAGTAAATATGTCAGCCAGACTTCTGTAACTGCTACACCCACACAGCCTGAGTATGTCATTTAAAAAGGATTGTCATGTACTGCACAAGAATTAAGATTCAGACATTTCATGAGAGAAAACCTGTATAAACTACTTTCCTTGTAACCTAGACAGGAGAGATAATTTTCAGCTTAAAGGACTGTAAAAATTAAGGAAAGGGGCTGGAATCTGCCAGTACTGACAAGTGGAAAGTAATGACTTTGAGAGTTTAACTGTATGAATCCACCAGCAAGCCACACTGCCCAGGTCGCAGAAGGCAAAGGCAGGAACTGGGAAAAGGAAGAACCGCCACTGTGGAAGACCGTATTTGAGACCATCTAAGGAACATGAAGGTGCACAAGTCCATGGGACCTGATGAATTGCATTTGTGAGGCCTGAGGGAACTGGTGGGTGAAGTTTCCAAGCCACTATCCATCATATTTGAGAAGTTATGTCAGTCTGGTGAAATTCCCACTGACTGGAGAAGGGGGAAACATAACCCCCTTTTTTAAAAAGGGAAATAAGGATGACCCAGGGAACTACAGACCAGTCAATCTCACCTGTGTATGCAGCAAGATCATGGAGCAGATCCTCCTAGTAACTGCACTAAGGCACATGGAAACTAAGGACGTGGTTGATGACAGCCAACATGGATTCACTAAGGGAAAATTGTGCCTAACAAATTTGGTGGCCCTCTCTGGCAGGGTTATGACATTGGTGGATAAGGGAAGAGCAACTGACATCACCTACCTGGACCTGTGCAAAGGATTTGACACTGTCCCACATGACATCCTTGTCTCTAAATTGGAGAGGCATGGATTTGACGGATGGACAACTTGGTGGATAAGGAATTGGCTGGATGGTTGCATTCAAAGACCTGTGGTCAATGGCTCCCTGTCTGTGGGGGGGGGCGGGGGGGAAGGGGAGTGTGAGGAGTCTGTTCAACATCTTCATTGGTGACATGGATGGTAGGATTGAGTGCACCCTCAGCAAAGTTGCCGATGACACCAAGCTTGTGTGGTGTGGTCGACACACTGGACAGAAGGGATGCCATCCAGCGGGACCTTGACAGGCATGAGGGTTGGGCCCCAATTAAGTATTTTAGTTCTCACAATATTCAGATTATATTTAAGATCACTTGATGGGGAGAACTCAGTTCCCCAGATGGTGATTGTTGGTTTTTGGAAAGACCTGATTTATAGCAAATTTACAGAAAATTTTATTTAAAGTTGTTTAAATGCGAAAGCAACAGAATTTATATTGATGCTCAAATATCAGTATTCTCACAGTTTAATTGATAATTAACTTTTCATCCTAGAGATTTTATAAAAAAACCTGTTTGGAATGCAGAGTTATGTCTGGAGACATAAAAGTAAGAATGTGTGTGTACAGCAAAGTACTGTTTTTTACAGAAAGAAAAGCTTCTGTAGATTATGTTGTTGTGTTGTCCACACACTTAAAATATTTATTGTTTTGTACTTTTATACATAGCATTCATATCTTGCAGACATTTGCCTCCTTTGTTGTCATTTCTTGTATTGTGGAAGTGTAGAATATTATTTTAATGAGAGTGCATACAGATTAAAGTACTGTCTTTTATCAGTCTGCTCAGGTGTGTGTTTTATATTCCGTATTTGGTATGTGGTCAGTTAGTCTAGGAAGCAGTCCATTAATAAGTGTTTGTTTTATTCTATATCCTGTAGACCAGTGGAAATTTTATTTTGTTGGATGATATGCATGCTCATTGAAAGAGAACTAACAAACTCAGGAAAATGACTAAAGAAGAAACATTCCAACACTGAGAATCACGTTGATGTAAAGTGAACTCTGATTCCAAATGTTAGCTTATTCTGACAGATTTACAAATGAGACAGTAATTTAAAATCTCGAAGGTATTCTGTTTTATATTAAGATAGTGAAGTATGTTCAGTAACTGTTCATGTTCACAGTGAAGAATTCACATAAAATTTTCATGGAGCTGGAAGCTTACTCATCCATTTTAATATGAGATGTGTTAGAGTAGGATGGCTTGTGTGATTTATGACATATGTCAGTTTTCCAAAAAAAAAAAAAGAGTATGCCTTTGTGTATCTCTAGTTTCACTTTTTCATCCATACTTGCAGAACCCGAAGGATTGCAGCAAAGCTAAGAAACTTGTGTGTAATATCAACAAGGGCTGTGGCTATGGTTGTCAACTTCATCATGTAGTCTACTGCTTCATGATCGCTTATGGCACTCAGCGAACACTCATTCTAGAGTCTCAGAATTGGCGCTATGCTACTGGAGGCTGGGAGACTGTATTTAGGCCTGTAAGCGAGACATGTACTGACAGATCAGGTACCACCACTGGACACTGGTCAGGTAAGACTTAATAACTCACATAATTTCTCCTTGTGTTTTTTGCAGCTTCATTCACATAGAGCTATTTTGATACCTCTATCTTAGATTTTGTGGAGCATAATATCTAGGAGTATGGTTGTGTACATAAGCATCTTTTAAATCTTATTTTTGCATTGTATTGAAAAAAATATTATCCCTATTAAGGTATCTTTGCTTTGGCAGAGATGTTTCAATACAAAGATTTTGTATTTCAGGTTTAAATTACAATCCTTTGGCAGTCTGCCACCGTGTTATGTGCCAGATATGGATCCAATTTTTGTGGGAAGGGAGTATTAAATAGAGGCTGGTTTTGGTAAACTTTAAAGCAATAAAGCATGTTTCAAATATAAAGCAGAGAAATACAAAGAAAATGGTACCCAATAGTAATTTACATGCTAACAAAATAATGAAATAATTGAAATAATTTTTAATGTAAACTGAACCGACTCAAAATTTAACTTGTAAAAACAGTGGCAATATTAAATACACTATTTTTAGATCAATATGTTGATCCATTCTTTTACTGGGCTGAACAATTTTGCTACAATAAATAGATGGGCATTCATGTTTGGTGGATCAGATAGCTTTGTCTCGAAGTAAACAGCATTCATTTTAAAGGAATTCTTACAGTCAATATCTTGACGAGTTACTAACATCTGCATATTTTTATAGGTTTTTTTAATATATATATTTAAAACATTTTTCACATATTTGTCCAATTGAGTAGGTATACAGTGCAACTGGAGATGGCTGGTAATATGCTAACTTTTTGCTTTCAATTTATGATAAATACTATGAAGAATTTCTTAAAATTAAAGTTCTGCAAAGTTAATTCTTATGTGAAAAACTGTCAGCTTCTTAAAACACATATTTCATTGACTCTTCCTTTTTTGTTAGGCATAATTATCTTTTCTAAGTTTTTAGTGGGCATTACATGAGAATAGGCTAAGCTATGGACAAAACCAATTTAGAGTGCGTATCAGTAAGGGAGATAATTGTGCCACATTTCAAGCTATAGCTCTTTTAGTTATCAGCCTGAAGAAAAGGAGGCTGAGGGGAGACCTGATCACTCTACAGCTACCTGAAAGGAGGTTGTAGGGAGGCAGGTGCTGGT